ACTACGCCAGAGCCCATGCCGCGGACCCTGTAGACAATAAACGCCGCCACATCCGCCGAAGCACCCCGCAAACCCTGGATCCTAAACCCTAAACCCGAAAACCCTAAACCCTAAAACCGTACATCCCTCAACCCCAACTCCCCCCACCCCCGACAGAAGGCCCGCAAAGCCAGGGCTGTGGCGGTGTTTCAGGCTCATGCCTGAGTGGCTCTGAGGAGCTCCCGACAAAGAAAGGGAAACCTTCAAAGCTTGAAAGTCCGAAAACCCTAAGCTCTTTAGGGTTTAGAGTGTAGGGTTTAGGGATTTTGGTTTAGGGTTTAGGGTTTAGGATTTCGGGTTTAGTGTCCAAATCCCAAAAACCGCCGCGCCTAAACCCCTAAAAGCCCCAAACCCCTTGCGCCCCAAACCCGAAAGGCACCGAGCCCAAGCCCCAAACCCCCAACCCCAAATTGCCCAGCAGAACCCCGGCCCACCCCCAAACCCTAAACCCCGAACCCCAAACCCTAAACCCCAAACCCCAAACCCTAAAACCCCTAAACCCCCTATAACCCCTAAACCCAAAACCCCATAAACCCTAAACCCTGAGAGCCCCGATTGCTTCCGAGGCTGCCCCGCAGATGAGATGTCTGTCCAGGACTTTTGGGTTTGAGGGTCTTCGGGGTTTGGTTTAGGGTTTAGGGTTTAGGGTTTAGGGTCTAGGGTCTAGGGTTTAGGGTTTAGGGTTTAGGGTTCAGGGTTTAGGGTTGTTTAGGGTTTAGGGTTCGGGGTTTTTTGGGGGCTCGGTTTTGGGACTGGGGGGGGGGGGGGGGGGGTTGTGCTTTGGATGCTTGGGGTGCTGGAATATGGGGGTTTCGGGTTGAGGGATTGAGGTTTAGGGTTTCGGGGTTTCGGGGGCCAAGACGCCAGAGCCTCATAAGCTTTAGACAAGGAGGGGTTGCGTGAATGTGCTCTGCCATGGGCATGCCCAGATATCCCAATACACCTGAATCAAGGAATATACCTTACAAACCTATACAATACTTACACTCCTTAGTCTGGGTCTAGGTTTTTGGCCCCTATGGTACTTCAGTGATAGGTATGTCTTTTCTGAGGGGAATTGGGCTGTCTGGGTGCGTCAAAACTACTAATTGCTTGAGACCCCAAAAAATCGGGTAATATAGGGATTATCATTTTATATTCTTTTGGGGTTCTTAAGCAAATAGTAGAAAAACCTGAAGGCCACCAGAGCACGGTGTACCAGGCTTGTGCTCGCAGGCTACGTGAGAGTGATGACAGCACCTGCGCGGGAGTTTAGAACCTTAGGATTTCACCGGGGGGGGGGGGGGGGGGGCCAGCATGCGCACCCCCTGAAAACCCTAAACATCCCTAAGCCCACAACCCTAAAACCCTAAACCCTAAACCCTAGCTAAACCCTGAACCCTAAACCCTAAACCACACACCCTCTAAGGGAAGTGGCTTCGGGGTATCTTGTGAGCCTTGGGCCAAATGACACCCCGTGTCCACCTTCAAGCACAAAACTTTAAAACGGTGCCGTGACCTCAGGTTGTACCCTTTTTAGGGTTTAGGGTTTAGGGTTTAAGTTTAGGGTTTAGGGTTTAGGGTTTAGGGTTTAGGGTTTAGGGTTTAGGGTTTAGGGTTTAGGGTTTAGGGTTTAGGGTTTAGGGTTTAGGGTTTAGGGTTTAGGGTTTTGGGGGACTCTTGTTAAAAGTCCTTTAGGGCAGCACGTATATGAAGGGAACCTCTCTTACCATGTTGAATCCGAATGGGGGGGGTAAAACCCTAAACCCTAAACCCTAAACCCTGAACTTTCCCTAAACCCTAAACCCTAAAGGGGTACGAGTTTTGGGATCCGTTGAGACTGTCTCCGGAATGCCGTCTGAAGACCTATGCAAAAACAAGGATTTGTTTCGATTCCTAGCCTCACATTGCATCCTAAGTGGCCCTAAACCCTAAGCCCTAAACCCTAAACCCTAAACCCTAAGCCCTAAGCCCTAAGCCCTAAGCCCTAAGCCCTAAACCCTAAACCCTAACCCCTAAATGCAAAGCGCCACATGGTGCAGTCGATTTTGACTCCTCCGACGTGAACCGATGAAGTACTTGGTGCTGCGTTGGCACGGGAGGTGCAGGTCCCCTAAAGCGTTTAGGGTTTAGGGCTTAGGGCTTAGGGTTTAGGGTTTAGGGTTTAGGGCTTAGGGTTTAGGGTTTGGGCTTTAGGGATGCATCTAGCAACTCCACCCCAAATCCTGAACCCCTAAACTCACCCAGGAATGTCCGAAAAAGGGAGGGTCTCTCGTTGACAAACCCTAAACCCTAAACCCCAACCTAAACATAGTACAAGCCCATGTAACACCCCAAATTGTTACTAGGATGGGCCTTGAAACCAAATATTCCTGAATATAAGCCTCTGAAACCCAATATGGGAAAATATGAAATGTTCCAAGGGCCTACCACCGAGGTTAGAAACCCTAAACCCTAAACCCTGAACCGCTCAAATGGCGACTCAGAACTTGAAGTACTGGTCGAACGTGCCCGGCATCTTACCTGACCATCGAGTGTCGGTTTAGGGTTTAGGGTTTAGGGTTTAGGGTTTAGGGTTTAGGGTTTAGGGTTTAGGGTTTAGGTGTAGCCCAGTAGCCATATTGTAAGAAGGGCACCATGTTTTTGGTTGGTTGCTTGATAAGGGAACCTTGAACCAAAACAAGGAAAAGGGTGCCACTGGGCTACCAAGACAGAATTTACAGGGCTTCGGGGTTTTCGGTCTTTCGGGTTTAGGGTGTAGCCCTCAGGATCCATGTACCTATAGAGTATGTACCTGGGCCCTGAAGCTACTATATACTAAGTATATACGAAATGGGTACATGGGCCCTTAAGGCACCTAAACCCTAAACCCTAAACCCTAAACCCTAAACCCTTAACCCTAAACCCTAAACCCCCAACCTGCATGGATCCTTAGGGTAGGGGATCCCACCTCTGCTAGAAAGCGCGAGCGAGGTGCCTTCGCCCTTCAGTATGGCTTGTGTCGCATCCTCCCCAGCGAAGCGGTCATAGAAGCCCGCAAGCCTTAGAGCTCCAGTGTGGTCTAGGGTTTAGGATTTAGGGTTTAGGGTTTAGGGTTTAGGGTTTAGGGTTTAGGGTTTAGGGTTTAGGGTTTAGGGTTTACCCTGATAACCCATTGACACATGTTCCTACATATGATCCTCTTAAAAACCAAGAAGTGAAAAGAGAAAGAATCCCGTAAGCCTACCTGAGCTAGGCTGCCCAGTAACCTAGGCTTAAAAAGGGAGCCCTATTTTTGCTTAAAGGGGTTTATACGGGAACCTAACCCCCCCAAAAAAGGGAAGAAGGGTACTACTGGGCATCCTAGTGAAAGGTGTAGGGTGTAGACCTAGGCACCTCCGAGAAGCCTCACAGGCGTTGACGCGCCTTCTTTTGGGATTGAGAGTCGCTGAAGTGGATATTACGAGCCCTTTGCTTAGGGTTTAGGGTTTAGGGTTTAGGTTTTAGGGTTTAGGGTTTAGGGTTTAGGCTCCACTTCCACAACCAAGCAGCTCTGGGTAGTCTGCCAAAATGTTGTCCTGGAGATTCGCTGCTTCAAGCTGCGACTAACTGGAAGTAGGGTTCGGTTTAGGGCTTAGGGCTTAAGGCTTAGGGCTTAGGGCTTAGGGCTTAGGGCTTAGGGCTTAGGGCTTAGGGCTTAGGGCTTAGGGCTTCGGGCTTAGGGCTTAGGGCTTAGGGCTTAGGGCTTAGGGTTTAGGGTTTAGGGTTTAGGGTTTAGGGTAACACCTCCAACAGTCCTCAAGGGTACCCTACGAATAAAATGGGTGTCCTTTTTGGTTGAAGGGGGTTATAAGGACACCTAGACCTAGACCCCCCCCAGACCCCCCCCATAAATGAACAATTAAGGGTCTGCTCTGGTTCCTAGAGTCTTAAGCCCGACCCTCCCCCCAAGAAAACAAACCTCCAAGAAACTCGGCCTTACACTCCACTTCCAACACCCTGCCAGTGTTCAGGGATTCGGCTTGAGAGGCTATTGACGATAACCCTTCAAGGGTTCATTCTACCTAGATTGCTTGTACACATACCCCTGAACCCTCCACCTGAGACGACTTTTGAGGGTGTACGGACTAGAGGGCTGATTTCCCGGAGAAGCTTATTGCACGCTACAATTAACCTCTTAAAAAAGGGCCTTTATGGAGCTGAACATGGGGATGACAGAGCCTAGTTGTCCATCCTGGAAGGCGTAGGAGTTTGGGTAACCCTAAACCCTAAACCCTAAACCCTAAACCCTAAACCCTAAACCCTAAACCCTAAACCCTAAACCCTAAACCCTAAACCCTAAACCCCAAAAGCCTAAAGATAGGCATCCTCGGAGCCTAGAGCCCATATGAATACATAAAAAGCAAACATAAATCTAAATATGTAATATATATATATATACATACTATATGGCCACATGGATATTTATAGCACACTTCTACCCTAAACCCTGAACCCGTATGCCCCAAACCCTAAACCCTAAACCCTCAACCCTAAACCCTCAACCCTCAACCCTAAACCTTAAACCCTAAACCCTAAACCCTAAACCCTAAATCCTATATTATACAGGTACATGGGCCCTTCGGGGAGAAAGAGGAGGAGGTCGAGGCCTTGATGAGCTTCAGGGCGTGCAGCGTGGAGAAGAGCTTGCACTCACCCACCGTCACGCCCGAGGTGGTGAACTTGCCCCCTGGAGGTGAGGTTAGGGTTTAGGGTTTAGGGTTTAGGGTTTAGGGTTTAGGGTTTAGGGTTAAGGGTTTAGGGTTTAGGGTTTAGGGTTTAGGGTTTGGGGTTTGGGGTTTAGGGTTTAGGGCTTTGGGTTTAGCGTTTAGGTTTTCCGGGGGTGTGATAGTTCAGCTTAAGGTTCAGGCTTGCCTCCGGGCCATGCATACCAGATTGCGCAGGCACCCCAAACCTCAAACCCCAAGCAGGATTCGGAAACAAACAAAAAAAAAACAAACAAACAAAAACGAAAGCTCGAATTGAAGTGGTAAGCCCTTTTTGTTCAAAGAGGTCTATCTAGGGATTCGAGCCTCAAAAGCAAGAAATACTAGGCATCCTAGAACACCCACATCCCGACAGCTTGTGCCCACTAGCCTGTGTCTACTTCTGACTGCCGTTGGCTAACCCTTACACTAACCGTCACTAAGGGTCCTTAATATATTGGGGTTTATAGTACCCCGAATATGAGATAGAATATGATCCCTAGTAAGGACTGTTCGTTTCAGAGGGAACATCCCAACCTGGAGCCCCCGCCGATGTGGGAAACCTCGCCAGCCCTTGCCTACTGACCTTCATGCTCATAGTCAGCAACCTGGCAAGATGCATCCCTGTGCAGGAACGCCGCCAACGAAAAAACCCTTACAACTCTGAAGCCCTACGCTCCGAAGGCCAAACCCCTAAACTGGCCAAACTCCTAAACACCAACCCCCCCCCCCCCCGAAACCCGAAACCCGAAACCCCAAACCCCAAACCCGAAACCCCAAACCCTAAACCCCCAAACCCTAAACCCTAAACCGTAAACCCTAAACCCTAAACCCTAATCCCCAAACCCTAAACCCTAAACGGCTGGGTTTGCTTGGCCACCCTGAGCTCGGCCGAGGCGCCCGAGCCACCGGATGCCTTGTAGAACGCCTCCGCTGCAGGATGTTTATTATTTGTTTTTGATTTTTTTTTTTTTTTTGGGGGGGGGGGTTGCTTTTTTTTTCTTTCTTTTTTTTTTTTTTTGGGGGGGGGGGGGGGCAGCTCGCTAAGTTGGGGTTTGGGGTTTGGGGTTTAGGGTTTAGGGTTTAGGGGTTTGGGGTTTAGGGTTTAGGGTTTAGGGGTTTAGGGGTTTAGGGTTTAGGGTTTAGGGGTTTAGGTGTTTAGGGTTTAGGGTTTAGGGTTTTTGTAGTTCTCTAAGTTAGGGTCCCTTTCTGGGGGTTAGGGTTTAGGGTTTACGGTCTGGGTTCTGGGGTTTGGGGTTTGGGGCTTTTGGGGGTTCTTCTTTAAGGGTCCGTAGTTTTCAGGGGGGACCCAGGAAGAGGACCCTACTCTAAGGAAATACCCATGGGGCTTCGGGCTTTGGGGGATTTTTTGATGCTGTTTGTGCTTGGGGCTTTTTGGGGCTTTAGGGTTTTTAAGGTTGTCTTTTTTCATGCTAATGGTTCTTTAGTTTTTTTTTTTCTTTCGGTGTTGGGGGCAAGGCTTTAGGTTTGGGACGCTCCGGCTTGAGGCTCAGGGTTCAGGGGTTGGGCACGGTCTAGGATTCGGAATTCTTTCCGCACCCTAAAGCCTAAAGCTTAAACCTTTTAGTAAAGAGTTCTCCGAATAAACACATATTCCGTCATACTTACTACTTCAGTTCAGCTAAATGAATTCCAAAGAAAGGCACATCTTCCTGAACCTAAGTGAATGAAGGGACCTAAGCCCTAAACCCTAAACCCAAGACCCTAAACCCTAAATGTATTCCTTGAACTCTTATGGGGTTGGGCTCCTTCCACAAGAAGGGGGCGGAAGGCTATTGTGGCTTCATAGAACCACCGTGCCGTCCCTAAGCCCTTGTTCGGCCTTCCTTCCCTAAACCCTAAACCCTAAACCCTAAACCCGAAACCCTAAACCCTAAACCCTAAACCCTAAACCCCTAAACCTTTACAAGGTTCGGGGTTGAGGGCATCTTAGGGTTCTAGAGTTTTGGGTTGCGTGCGAGGAGGGTTTAGGGTTTAGCACGGGGGATGCCGTGCTCTAGACGATCGCAGGCCTAGCGGGGACATCCTCGTTTCCCTTAACCCGAAACCCCAAACCCAGAAACCCTAAAATCCTGAAACCCTAAAACCCTAAGTCCCAAAACTCTGAAGCTCTAAACCCAAACCCTAACCCTGCAGCCTGAACCCTAAACCCTGACCTAAACGTAAACCCTAAACCCTTAAGCCCGAACCCCCCCCCCCCCAAGACCGTGACCCCTAACAGCCCTACTCGAAAAATAAGCCGACCCCTCGCAAAACACCAAGCGTCCCAACACTCTGATATAAACGTGTGCATGTGTATATATGTATATATGTGTGAATATATGTATATATCTATTACATATTTACATATATACTCGTAAAGTTCTTGAAGGAAATTATAGCTCGTCAGCATCAACATCTTCACAATTCAAAGCCAACATGACTATGAGCCCATGCCCCCCCCCCCCACAACAAAACAAAACGGGTTTAGGGTTTAGGGTTTAGGGTTTATGTTCCGAAACCCTCAAACACCCATCCTCCAGCAGCTTCAGGTAGACTTTGAACCCAAAGTTCCTTCAGCGGCTTCAAAGATGGTTTGGGGTTGAGGGTCTTAGGTCTTAGAGTCTTAGGGTTCAGGGTTTAGGGTTGAGGGTCTTAGGGTTTAGAGCATAAGCCCGAAGGGCTTCGGGCTATTAGAGGTTTGGGGTTTGGGGGTATTAGGCTTGGAGATTGTAGCTTGGAGTTTGTGGGATTAGGGCCTTTAGAGGTTTAGGCTTGCATGGCCGAGGGTTTAGGGTTTAGGGTTTTGGGGTTAGGGTTTAGGGGCTTACTGTGCAGCTGTATTCCCATATGCTGCCGACGGACTCACCTGCTTATGAGGGCGGCGTAAGACAAACAGGCCAACTCCTGCTGTGGAGGATGGCCACTATAAGAGCATCACCCCAAAGAGCCCAAAACCCCTTAACTGAAGCATATATCTTAAGTCATATTAGGATCCCTCTTATGATTTACGTTAAGGTATATGTAATTCTTAATTCAGGGGCATTGGGCTCTCTGGGACCATGACGGGGGCCGTACCTACGGCTTCGGCTAGCTGCCTCGAAGGAAAATGCTCACCCTTACAGCGTGTCAGACATCTCACCATCTGTATGTACATAGGCGTACCATGTGTGTATGAAACACATCCTGGGTTCTGCTTTATAAACCCTTTGAAAATTATTTTATGAACAGGTTCCCTTTTATAAGGAAAGAAGGGAAACTAAAAACTATCCCCAACCCTAAACCCAGACTCTGATGATATGAAGTAGGGTACATATTTCTTGTACCCCCAAAAGGACACCAGGTATATACACTCACCAAAATTAAAAAAGAACCTTATATACACTCACCAAAATTAAAAAGGAACCTTATACACACTCACCAAAATTACAAAGGAACCTTATATACACTCACCAAAAACAGTAATATAAACCCTGCTTCATATGACATACCTATCTTTGCTGACCGCTGGATGGGTGCGACGAGATGAGGTCCGTGTTGGGGAGTCTGCCCGCTCGGACATCAAAACATCGAACAGGGTTTAGGGTCTAGGGTTTAGGGCTAGGGTTTAGGGTATAGGGTTTAGGGTTTTAGGGTTTTAGGGTTTTAGGGTTTAGGGTTTAGGGCTCAGGGCCGCGGCGAAGCGAAGCCAGTCGAGCTGCTTGTGGCTCCTTGGTGGCCCAGTAGCCATACTACGAGAATTACGGGTAATCACCCTTTTGGGGTTTAGGGTTTAGGGCTTGGGTTTAGAGTTTAGGGTTTAGGGTTTAGGGTTTAGGGTTTAGGGTTTAGGGTTTAGGGTTTAGGGTTTAGGGTTTAGGGAACCTAGAACCCCAGAAAGGCGCAAGAAAGGGCTGCCAAGGCTCTCCATGGCACCCCGCTTTCCAATTAGGCCTCCGAAGCCTGGATGAGTTTATACCTTGGGTTTGGGGTTTAGGGTTTAGGGTTTAGGGTTTAGGGTTTAGGGTTTAGGGTTTAGGGTTTAGGGTTAGGGGGGGGGGGGCCTAAAAGAACAAAATCTTGATGGCTTTACAAGCATTATATTTAAGGGATTACGAGTAAGAAACAACTCTCAACTTGTGATGGCTTTACAAGGATTATACAGGGGATTAAGAGAAATTAAAAGCATAAAACTGATGTTCAAACCTAGCCCTGATACGGTGCTCCCGCGGGGTCCGTCGCAGCCTCTCTGGCATCGAGGTCGCCATCATCCGCACCTGCCTTGGCCTCAACATCTGCGGCAGCAGCAAGCCGTGCGCTCCGCGCAGAACAACAGCACCTCAGGCACAGCACGATCCTTAGTTGCTGAGTTCATAAGCCCCCGAGTGTCCCTAAACCCTAAACCCTAAACCCTAAACCCTAAACCCTAAACCCTAAACCCTAAACCCTAAACCCTAAACCCTAAACCCTAAACCCTAAAGCACTTTCTCATTTCTAGAGCGGATTCTAGTATCCCAACAAAACTGTAAAGTGTACTCATGTAGCTACAAAGGATCAGGAAGACCAAGAGGCCTACTCCTGATAGCGTCAATGCCCAGAAAACCTGACTTGTCCAGTAACCTAGGGTTTGGGGTTTAGGGTTTAGGGTTTAGGGTTTAGTGTTTAGGGGAATTGAAGTTCAACCTTTGGGATTCTGTTGGGAGTAGAATGCCCAAAAAAAGGTTAAAGGTTACCTACTTGTACTCTACTACCAAGAAACATAGGCCACAGCGACGGCGGGAGCAGGGGTGCGGCTCCTGTACACCAGATCCATCTGATCCCTTTTGCAAAGCGGCGTGCGAAAAACAGAGTTCGGATCGACCTCGTCTATGAGAGCCGCAAATTCTGTCAGCGTCTGCTCAGGGAACCCATACTCCAGCGTGATCCCTGGGGCGACAAACTTCCCCGCATGCAGTCGCACCTATACAGAACTTGGAACCCTAGCACACATTGTGATTTTTGTTGTGTCTTAGGAACTACAGTGCCTAAACATATGAAAGTAAGAAAGAAAAAATTCCAAAGAACCCCTAAGGTACGAACGGCAAGGGTGGCTGCAGGCTCTCCCAGGATTCGAGAATGGTATGCTGAAGTCTTTGAAACTCTTCCTTCGTAGCCCAGTAGCCATCTTGCAATAATAAAAAGAATTAATCAGAACAAGGAAAATAAGAATGATAATGATAATAAGAATAAGAAGAAGAAGAAGAATAGTAGTAATAATATAAGGGCCCTCTTTTTTGGGTTGGTCGATTACGTTATAAGGGAACCCAGAACCCGAAAAAGTAAAGCAAAAGGGTACCCTAAACCCTAAACCCTAAACCCTAAACCCTAAACCCTAAACCCTAAACCCTAAACCCTAAACCCTAAACCCTAAACTGGGCTACCAAGCTTCCCAGTCGCGATCGAAGAAGAAGTCGATGTTGACGGCTAGCGCCGGCGAAGCCGCCGATGGCGCCATCGGGGCGACCGTCGGGGGCACCTGGTTTAGGGTTTAGGGTTTAGGGTTTGGGGTTTAGGGTTTAGGGGGTGGCACCTGCCGAAGCGCCAGCGCAGATGGCTTCCATCTGGGGTTGCTCTGCAGAAGCTCCTGCAAAGATTGCAAGGCGCGCGCCGCGTGGTCAAACGGCACGAAGAACTCCATCTCAATGTGCTGCTCCGGCAGCAGGTTTGCATGGCTCGCGTGCCAATTTCCGGTTTTTCCCGAGTCGCTTGTAATCACATCCTCCACAAAGGACCTGACAACAGATCCGGACAGCAGCTGACGGTCCCATATGGCCGCTCCCTCGATGACTTCTCTCCTAGGATGGAAAACGCTTTGAAAGATACTCCCAAAATAGGATCCCTTTAATTAAACGCAACAAGGAAAAATAGAAAATAGCCCAGGGGTCTACCTAAGCCCCAAACCCTAAACCCTAAACCCTAAACCCTAAACCCTAAACCCTACACCCTAAACCTAAACCCTAAACCCTAAACCCTAAACCCTAAACCCTAACCCTAAACCCTAAGCCCTAAACCCTAAACCCTCCCGAGGTTCAGAAGGTCGACTGCCGCAGGTGCTGGTTCGAGGAAGAGCTCTCGACTGGCAGTAGCATTCTCTTCGGTGCATCTGGTCTCCACGGCAGACCTGGAGTTGATCCAGAGCGCCATGGTAGCCTGACTTAGGCTTTAGGGTTTAGGGTTTGGGGCTTAGGGTTTAGTCCATGGAAACCTACAGATAACTCCATACCTTACACAAGCAAAACGTGTCTGCTGGCCCCCCGAACATATGTCCGAAACTACTATTTGCTCAAGAAGCCCCAAAAACTACAAAATGCCCTACATTACCCTTCTAAGGAAGAATCTTTGTTGTTTTTTGGGGGGGTTCTTAAGGAAATAGTAGTCACATCCAAGAAGCAGGGCACACCTCCCTCGAGGCCATCCTCTGAAAAAGTGCGGCCATATGCGGCTGCTGAGTCCGCCTGGTGCCCCACGTGTAGGTCCGAAGAACCTCCACGGAAAGGACGGCCCTGATGATAACGCCGCCTTCAACGCAGGAAAGAAAGGCAAGCCTAAACCCTGTATTGTCTGGAACCCTGTGCATCATGAGTGGCAAGGGCTTCCCTAAGCTATAAAACGTAACCCCAAACCAAGACTGCGTGTTGAAGTCACTGGCACCTCTTCCAACTGTGCCAAAGGAATAACCAAAGGCTTTGTCAGATCTGTTGTAGGTGACAGCAACGGCTGTCCCATTCCTTGGCCACTGTTGTTAGGGTTTAGGGTTTAGGGGTTTGGGGTTTGGGGTTTGGGGTGTGGGTTTGGGGTTTGGGGTGTGGGTTTGGGGTTGTTAGGAGAAACCCCTAAACCCTCAGACCCTACCTGGGGCCCTATTTACCTACAGCTTAGTAGCCACTACCCTTAAGTAGTAGGTATAAACCATAAAACTGGAGTAGTAAAGAGGGCGGGTCCCAGGTAAACCTAACCCTTGCCGACAACGGGCTAGAGTCGGTGTGAATAGTATGCTTCTTATAATCCCTATTCAAGACTGTTAGTATAAGGGTGACCATCCCAACATCTATGTCAGGGGAAACCCCGAAACCCTCAGACCTCATAAACCCCTTTGCCAACAAACTACTAATTGCTTAAGAACCCCGAAAATATGAAATATACTCTTCCTTAACTAAGGGCATTATAGGGATTATCTTTTGTTATTAGTCTTTTCGGGTTCTTAAGCAAATAGTCGGCTAGAGTCGGCGTGAAGTGTGCAAGCCTCAAGCTGATCACGGCCTCCGCAAACGTCGGCGAGAAGGTGTCGTGCACGTTTGTAGCAATTGCCCCACCGAGCGACTGCCCACGGTCGCTGTTGAGGCAGAGCCTTAGATGTCTCCAGCAACCTGGGGGAAGTAAAGGTTAACCTTTGGGGTTTTATAGGGATTAGAATACCCCAAATACTTGTCTGCTGTCAGGGCGGCGTGGAGCAAAGAAACTGAAACAGCTTGCCCTTTTCACACCCTAAACCCTAAACCTTGCATGGCATCCGGGAAGATAGTACGGGTAATCTTATAGGGCCCCCGTATCAGTTCGACCCACGAGTGACCTAGGAATCACACGGTTTACCCTTTGTGGTTTAAAGGGGCTTACAAGGCAAGGAAACCAAAGGCCCTGAAAAGGAACAAGGGCGTACTCCGAGTCCTAGAACCCTAAACCCTACCTGGGACCCTCTTTACCTGCAGTTTTATGGGTTAAGAAGGGTTTAGGGTTTAGGGTTTAAGGGGCTTTAAGCTGTAGGCAAATAGATAAACCCTAACAAAGGATTCCTGTATTAGTGACCAAGCGAACCCCTTCGCAGCGCTTTGGAATCCCAAGCCGACGATCGTCGGCACCAAGTCGTACATCCAAGCGCCGCCACCAGCTTCAATAGTGCAGTTGCTGTCGTCAGAGCCTCGGCTGCATGTGGGGCTCTACGAAAATAGGGAACACCCATGTACGCATTCTCTAAATTCTGGGTCCTCCTTGGAGGGGTCCTATCCATACGGAACCTCACCAACCCATTTTTTTGTGTGAGGGATCCGTCGGAGTGCTCAGGCGCACCGGATAGACGTCACGGGACGTCGGGCAGCGTTTGGTGTTCGCATGTCGGAATTACGGTCCCTGCCAGAGCTTCCGCAGTTTGCGGGACCACCCTCTTGTGCCGGCGTTTGCAGTGTGTCCTCTTCATGCATTCCCTATGCACCGACTTCACTGTACTTGGCATTACGTCCGAGGGGGGGGGGGGGGTTTGGGGGGGGGAGGGGGGCGGCGGGGTGGGTGGGGTGGATAAAAACGTCCGTTCATACAGCGATCATGCCCCAAAACGCTGGTCAGGATTCTTGCCTCTTTGCACAACACAACGCAACAAGATGTTTGCCTTTTCTGGAGTAAGACGTGCTGTCACAAGCGCTCATGTCTTTTGAGAACATGGATGGACGAAACACTGGCATTTACATCGTTATTGCCCGTTTGCACAACATGAAGCAAAAAAATGATTGACGCCTCTGGAACAAAACGAGCACACACATTCATGTCTTGGTGAACATGACCAAAACACTGGCATTTACAGCGTTGTGGCCTCTTTGCGCAACAGGATAGTCAAAACATCTTGCGCAACATCACACTTTCATCTTATGTATTTGGACGACCCCAATACACAAACGTGTTCACAATCCTTCTGGAAGGCTGCCATACTTTCCAATACTCGTGTGGCTGACCCTAAACCATAAACCCTAAACCCTAAACCCTAAAACCCTAAAACCCTAAAACCCTAAAACCCTAAAACCCTAAAACCCTAAAACCCTAAACCCTTAAACCCTAAAAACCCTAACACAACGACACCCAAGGAACACTGCAGCTCCCCGATGCTGGCCAGCTCCCCTCTCAAGGCCAAGACCTGCACCATCGTTGGGCACTATTTAAAAATCGTCATTTTTGTTTCTCATTGGGTTTAAGTAGGGCACTATATATAAAAAAATAGTCATTATTTGTTTCTCATTAGGTTTAAGTATTCACAAAAAAAACAAAATTATTTGCAAGAATGACCCAGAAACCACTCCTCCCTCCGCGGGGTAAGCGCCAGGGTTCCAAGACCAACCGCCCCCGATGGCTCGGACATTCTCGCCTGGGCCGGGGCTTCCAGGATTTCGGGTTTAGGGTTTGGGGTTTAGGGTTTGGGGTTTGGGGTTTGGGGTTTAGGGTTTAGGGTTTGGAAAACGAGTAAGAGAGCAATAGAGTGTGGTCGTTGCGTATGGCTATACGGGGCCATATAGCAAGGCAGCATCATATGGTACTTGCTGGTGACGTATATACTGTAAGTCTGAGCGCCAAGGAACTACAAAACAACAACAGACAAAAAAAAAAACAGCTGCAAACACATCGACCAGCGGCCCTTACTTGAAGCTTCATTCAACTGCTCCAGCAAGGCCTCTTCCGATGTTACCTCAAGGTACCGCAACGCTGTATCATCTGGAGGGATTGCATCAAATACTAGGCGCGGTATCTTCGGCGCTGCCCAGTAAGCCTCTTCAATTGCAAGGCTGATGAAAAAGGGGACCAGCACGACCAGCAGCCAGGAGCAGCAGCAACAGGAAACAGCTTTACATGGGTGCTGCGAACACATGCCCACGAAATTTAGGGTTTAGGGTTTAGGGTTTAGGGTTAGGGTTTGGGGTTTAGGAAAGTTGCTTGTTCTTGTGACTAAGATGGCCAGATAGAACTCTGAGAGTGGCACCAATACATGGAATCCTACACCCTAAACCCTAATTAAACCCTACACCCTAAACCCCAGGTCCTAGATGAGGACTACCCAGACAAAAGGACCTGGCCACCCAGGTGCAGTGTGTTTGCTTTGCTTGGGCCAAGATGGTTCAAGTGTAGCAAGTACTTCGTTGTCCAGTAACCTGGGGGAAGTAAAGGTGAACCTTTGGGATTTCATAGGGATTGGAATACCCCAAAAAGGGAAATGGTTACCTACTCTACTGCTAAGAGCAGGTCCCCTACTTACCAACAGTGGTGATGATAGTTGCAGTATACTAGAGATCTACAGTTCTGCTACTCGGACAGTAAGCGTCTGAATCAAGCCTTGCTAGCCGGTACACTCGACGGCTCGAATCTGGGAAAAACAAGTTCGCCTGTCCTTCTCGTGTGGTGGGCTCCCACACATGTATGCCGACATCAGGATCAGGGAATGTCGGGCATATTGAACCCCAAACCCTAAACCCCAAACCCTAACCCTAAACCCGAAACCCTAAACCCTAAACCCTATCGATGGATGGGGGCACTGCTAAGCTTCACAAGCCGGCACCAGGTGTGCGATGACTGCAATTTGCGTTCAGGGGCTGCCCGAAACCCTAAACCCTAAACCGCGGCATTTAGTTTGTTGAATGGGCTACAAGAGCAGGCAGGGGCTTTGACATCTTAAGCCTCAGCCTCAGCCCTCATTCCTAAAGCCTGAACCTACCAAGGGGGTTCTTATACACAGGGTTTAGGGTTTAGGGTTTAGGATTTAGGGTTTAGGGTTATAGGCGTACCCCTTTTTACTCCCAAATAGAGTAGAAGCCCCTTCTGAGTTGTCCAGCAACCTAGGGGAATGAAAGTTCAACCTTTGGGATTTTATTGGGATTAGAATACCCAAAGAAGGTTAAAGGTTGCCTACTCTACTACGAAGCCTTTAAAAAGGACCCCTAGGAGGGTACCCCTATTGACGGAAACCCCCCTAACGCTTAGCGGGTGTCCGGTTGTGCGTCTGCTCGTTCTCGTCCGTCCAGCACGCGTCAGCCTCCTCGCCTGCAAAGATCGACAGGAAACCTTCAACCCTAAACCCTAAACCCGAAACCCTAAACCCTAGCCCGATGAAGCCCATACCCCTTAACTCAAGTGCCCTCTCTGAACGTTAAACGAATACCAAAACCCGCTTGACCCTGACCCAAACTTTCTTTTTTCCAGGGGGGGGGGGGGGGGGTTGGTGGTGCTTCGGGGGCTTCAGCAGGTGTACCTAGCTCGCCTTCCTTCCTCTAGTCATGCTCATCGTGCTTGCTACGCCCTGACCCTCAGAGATCCTCCTAACCCCAAGTGAAAATTTACGACAACAGGGGACCCCAAATATAGATTCTTTTAGTAAGGACCCCAACAAGGTACCCCTAATTTCGGAATCCTCCAAGAACTATAGGCACACCTACCGGCTGTCTCAAGCAGGTTTAGGGTTTAGGAGTTCGCCCCTTGAACACCCTCCCTCTTGGGGGGGGGTGTGGGGGTTAGGATATTTGTAGGCTAACGGGGGTACCCCCTCACCCCCCCCGCCCCCGCCCCCCAAAGAAATTACAAGACCGTTTGGGGATACCGGGGGGGGCCCCTGTTATTGAAGACGCGGCCTCACACCTAACTGCAAAAGCGAAACGCGCAGCCCCAATTGCAGCCTGAACCCCTTTAAACCTTAAACCCTAAGCGCGACTGCCTGAGAGGAGGCCAGATTTGAGCTTGCTGAGCTTCTGATACATGTCCTCTGCCTAGTTGTCGGGCAAGCTTGTGAAGCGTAAGCTGAAGTTCTGCTTGTCTAGGGTTTAGGGTTTAGGGTTCAGGGTTTTAGGGAGTGCCGAAATGCGGCGCCTCCTTTTACCTGACGGGGCGCGGCTCCCTGGTGCCAACAAGAATCTCGAGAATGAGAAATGACATATGGAATAACGTAGTATTCCCAAAGAGCCCAATGCCCCTGAATTACGGAATGTACCTTATGCTTTAGGAGGGATCCTAATTTGATTTGCGGAATGTACCTTATGCTTTAGGAGGGATCCTAATTTGATTGAAGGCACTCCTTCATTAAGGGGTGCTCTCTGGGTTCGTAGTCAGTCACATCAACCTTCATGTTGTTTGCCCATAGCTGGTGACATTATTCCATCCGGACAGGCGCGGCGCCGAACCTTTCTTGGCAGAAAGAGCATCTTCTGAAGCTATCATAAGTACCTCAACCCTAAACCCTAATTATAAACCCTACACCCTAAACCCTACAAAGCCTAACTATGGGAGCCGTAGAGAGACGTCTGGAGCCCAGACCTTAAGGACCAAATGAACCCTAAAATTGGGGTCATATTCCCTTATACTACTATAATTCCCATTCAGTTACATGAACCCTGAACCCTAAACCCTAAACCCTTTTAGGGCTCATTTCGTCCCCAAGGGAAGGACGCGGCGCCTTTTGGAGCAACAGCAGGCGTCAAGAGAAAAAAACGGTACTGATGGCCATCATGGCGACACTTGAAGGTTCATGGTACTTACTAACCAATTATAACTGTACTTATAACATAACCCTACTTGTAATACCCCTAAAGGGCCTCATAGGGGTTATCCCACGTATAAGTAGGGTTATAAGCTCAGTTAGAATTGGTTAGTAAGTACCATGAACCTCCAAGCAAGGGCAATAGCTGGCTGGATCTCAGTAGGGAATGAGAGAGATAGAGCCCTCTCTATATATATATATATACATACGCTTTAAGGGATTATGGAGGGCCCTATTTCCCTCATTCCCTATTAAGAACCAGAAGGGGGGAGTTCTTGGCGGCTGAATACCCTAGCCCCAAAAAGAGTTGACCTCTGTATGGGGATGTATGTAACCAGCAAGGTTAAAGGTTAACTACCTAGTTCCTAAGATGACTGGCGATCCCAAAAAATATCATTTTCATGGTGTGGTGATAGTGGTAGCATCGGTAAGAAGTTGCCACGAACAATGGCGAAGGAAACATCAAAGTCGCTGCCTGGTTCAGCAGCTGCTGCGAGATGGCGAACTCAGTCAGATCCTGACTGGCGATGGGGGCATTTTTCGGCTCATAAGACGCTCAAAACCCCAGACTCGCCTGAGGGAAGAAGGCGACCTTCTTTTTGCTTTTTTGGTTTAAGGGTTTTTTGTAAAGGGAAGCTCAACACTACAGAAAGGAAGTAAGGCCACGCTCGAACTGTGAGGGTAGTCGAACGGTCCCTTAATGTGGGCCCGTTACCTTCCCCAAAGGGTTCTGGAGTATGGGTCCCTTGGGCTTTATAACAGTGTTCATAGGGTTTACATTGTCAAGAGGGTTTAGGGGGTTTAGAATAAGCTGTGTAGGGTCATACGGTTTGAGGGTCGAGGGTTTATAGGGTGTGAGGTTTGGGGGGTGCGGATCCAGAGAGCCCAATACCCCTCAACCAGGAAGAACTGAACTATAGAGGCATCCTTTCGAATGGTTTACAGTATTCTCCTTGATCGTAGGGTTTTGGGCTCTCTGATGATATGCGAAATAATGCCTACTTCGGATAATCTTATCACCCTGCTTGTATGGCTTCGGGTTCAGGGTTGAGGGCCCCCTAAACCCTAAATCCTCAACTCTAAAACTGCCAACCTCTGATGAGTAAGCTTCCCCCAGAATAGTGCGACATTGGCCCGTACAGAATAGCAGCATAGAAAGAAAATACCCGATTCTGAGATGTCAGATGGTTGGAAGGGGCGAATGGGAACCCTAAACCCTGAACCTAAACCCAAATTCAAAACCCTAAACCCTAAACCCTAAACCCGAAACCCTCCTAAAGGGAGGTCACTGCCTTGAGGTTGGCAGCGTGAAGCTCCCTGAACCTTCAGGACATGCCAACACGCCCGCCCAGACGAAGCCTGGCCGCAAACCTTTGCCCAGAGAGCCCCGATACAGTTTAGGGTTTAGAGCCCTCAGCAGGACTTTAGGGTTTAGGGTCTAGGGTTTAGGGTATAGGGGTTAGGGTTCAGGGATTGGGGTGTAGGGCTTAGGGCTTATGGCCTTCAACCACTATAGGACCCCTACCGCAATAAGGGACCCTGCCCCTGACCCAATACCCGTTGATGGAGGGTTCAACCAAAGCCATATTGGGATCCTCTCACAAGAAACCCTAAACCCTAAACCCGAAACCCTAAACCCTAATCAAGGGGTTCATTGGGCGCATGGGGGTGACTATCAGGGTGAGTTTCGACGCCGGCCATTTTCTGAGACTGCTGGCCGATGTAGTTGAGGATTGCGAGCTCGTGGCCAATCCTTGGGGGCTTGGGTTTTAGGGTGGAGGGTTGAGGGTTTAGGGTTTATGGTTCAGGGGTTTAGGGGTTTGGGGGCGAAGGGGTTTAGGTTTTCAGGGTTTTAGGGTTTTAGGGTTTAGGAGGTTTAGGGTTGGAATGAGACCAGCATGGGCTATGAGGCGCCATCATCAACCCCGAAGGGGAATAATCGGCAGCCTCTCTGGGGGGTTACCCTATATCGTCCCTATACATATATATAAATATATACCCAAGTCGCCCCCAAAATAACCCCCGAATATCCCCTAAGGCCTCTCTGAGGAGTTACAGAGGAAGAAGATTCGGCCTACTGCTTTGGGCCTTAGTGCGGGTATATGGGGCAGGGGCTATGTGTCCCCTCATTAACGTTTTGGGATAAGCACCGAAACCTCAATATACCAGAACATAAAAAACCATAACATAATAACGTGCAACGTAATCTAGCATGACAAGATATAGCATCGTGTAACATCACGCTCTACAATCTAACATAATAAGCAACCATACAAATATTTAACTGATCATAGAACCGGTGCATTGTCACCTTAAACCCTAAACCCTAAACCCTAAACCCTAAACCCTCCGAGCCGCGTCCCCGAAGGCGTCTCGAGGATGGGCAGCTCCAGGAAAGGCGTCGTGGGCTTCAGCGCCTTCCAATCCTCGGGGAAGGCACCTGTAGGAGCTCTCACTTCGGGGGGGTTTAGGGTTTAGGGTTTAGGGTTGAGGGTTTAGGGTTTAGGGTTTAGGGTTTAGGGTTTAGGGGGTAAGTAAAGCGTGACTAGTATGAGTAATCATCGTAGAAGTGAGAACGGTAAGAGTAATCAGAGTAAGAGAGTTCTAGCAGTACTAGAGACCCTTAACCTTATCTCCTAAGCCCCTAAACCCTACACCCTACACCCTAAAGCCTAAACCCCAAACCCCAAAGAGTTAATTCTTCGATCATTGGGCTATCGAGTTTTGGATTTCAGCATGGAGGCTGCGGCTTCCAGAGTTCGGAGGTCATGGTGTGGGTTTAGGGTTTAGGGTTTAGGGTTTAGGGTCTAGGGTCTAGGGTCTAGGGTTTAGGGTTTAGGGTTCAGGTAGCCTTCGCCAGGGATTTCCGAAATTAGGGGGTACCTTTTGGTGTCCTCACTTATTCGGGAATCCTACTATTTGGGGATCCTTTCTATCGCATACTCCTTAATGGTGACTGGTTTGGAGGAACCCCCTAAGCCCTAAGCCCTAAACCCTAAACCCCAAACCCTAAACCCCAAACCCCAAACCCTAAACCCTAAACCCCAAACCCTAAACCCTAAACCCTAAACCCTCTCAGCAAGTATGGCCGTCGTGGGCGCGGAGGTGCACGACTTGCCCTGAAGACCATGGGCTTCTTGACGAAACGTGGGGGGTTTACGAACACTTGGAGGTTCATGGTACTTACTAGCCAGTTATAATTATAATACCCCTAGAGGGCCTCATAGGGGTTATCCCACGTATAAGTAGGGTTATAAGCTCAGTTATAATTGGTTCGTAAGTACCATGAACCTCCAAGCATACGGGACCTGCATATAAACTCCCCAAATAGTAGGGTTTCCCTTACTTAGCTGCTGAGTTCATGCGCCCCCCCCCCCCCTCCCCCCCCCCCCCCTCCCCCCCCCCCCCCTCCCCCCCCCCCCCCTCCCCCCCCCCTCCCCCCCCCCCCCCCAAAAAAAAAAACAAGTGTACACTTTCAGTTCTATGGGAGATTATCGTATCCCAAAAAGTGTAAAGTGTACTCATTCAGCTACTAAGTAGCAGGGGTTCCCTTATAATAAGGACCCCAATAATCAGGCACCCCAAATTTCGGAAACCCCCACGCAGGAGAATGACGAGCCTGTAGTAACCCCTAAACCCTAAACACTAAACCCTAAGCCCAAAACCCTCAACTTAAACCTGGCCGGATCCAAGCAACCCGAACAAGTTGCGCCTTCCCACTCCAAACCGCTGTGCTGCAGTGCCAGCGCCGCTGCAGGGCCCTTGGCCCACAGCTTGAAGTAGGTGTACCTGGTTCCGTTCAGACCCTAAACCCTAAACCCTAAACCCTAAACCCTAAACCCTAAACCCTAAACCCTAGACCCTAAACCCTATACCCTAAACCCTAAACCCTAAACCCTAAACCCTAACTCGGTTCCGTTCAGGTTTTGGGGTCTAGGGCCTTAGAGCCGAAGCAGGTGTACGACATGTTGCTCGCTTGGGGCTTCTTGGGGGATGCTCGTAGGACTCAAAAAGCCGGTCACGAGTCCAAAGATGCTGGCGGATGTTCTTACAAGTGCTTTCAAAACCCCAAAGCCCCAATTGTTGTTTGTAGATTGCCAAGCTTTGCTTCTGGCACCCACTTGCCTGAAATCTGAAGAGTTCGCTGCCATAAAGACTCAGGGGACTCAATCAATAGGCTGCAAACAATCGTGTTATTGTAGGCCTAACCTCTAAACTCGACATTGACAAGTAAACCTTCTTACACCCCACTTTTTTCAGCTCCCTGAGCCGTACAGGATGTGGGATGTGCGGATCAGCCGAGACGCTTCAATGCTTGCCGTGCCACGGCAGAGTCACTTCCTCGGCTTGGGTTGTAGAGCTTAGGAGGGTAGCCCCACTGTGTCTTTAGGTCTCAGTACTTCCTCGATGTATATGTATTTGATATGTGCAATGTGGCACTGGCTGTAGCATTCTAGATTCTATGATCGCGAAATATTCTAACATTTGTTGGGGTCGCCCGCCATTATCACAAGCTTTTTCCGGGGGCTATGTTTCGAATTTGTGGGTTTGTATTTCGTTAGGGTGGGTTCCACGAAACCCTAAACCCTAAACCCTAAACCTTGACCCCTAAACCCTGAGCCACCCTAACCCTAAACCCTAAACCCTGAGGTTCCTGAGAAAAGCTGGGCCGGTTGCATCTAAAGCCTTGTTGGCTTCAGAAACCCTAAACCTTAAACCCTGAGCCACCCTAACCCTAAACCCTAACCCTAAACCCTAAACCCTAAACCCTAAGCTCAGCGGGGGAGGGGGGGGTTGGTGCGGGGGGGGGGGGGGGGGGGGGGGGGGGGGGGGGGGGGGGGGGGGGAGGGTGGCGTCGGGGGGCTGTGGATTGAAGCCAGTGCAACATTAGACAGATGCATACATAGAAAATTATACATGCATACAGGAGAAACCCTCAAAAGCCAAGTGCAACCACAGCGGCCGTGGTTGGGCTGTATAATAATTCCTTACGCGCGTCCTAGATGGCGCGGCTCGGAGCCCTCGATCTTAAACTAGAATGACCCTCAAACCTAAACCCTAAACTAGAACCCCTGTGAAACATATAGGGTCTAGGGAGATTCCTAAATACGATCCTCTTAAGTCCAAATATGAAGGAAGATGTCAACTTTCCAAGTGCCCTACCAAGGAAAGCGCGTAGTTCTGCGTGGGTGCACCCCCCGAGCCCTAAACCAACCAAGCCACCAAATCCCCAAAACATCCAAATGCCTCACCCAAACCCAAACACTCTGACACCAAAACCAAAACGAAAGCCCAAAAACTCGTAAAAATCCCCCCCCCCCCCAAGAGAAAACCAAAACTAAACCCTGAAACCCTAACCTCCTAAACCCTAAACCCAAAACCCTAATACCTAAACCCTAAACCCTAACCCCCCCCACCCCCACCCCCCCCCAACCCTCACACACCTTTGCCGGGGCTCGCAGCCGGCAGGGACCGGCCTCGAGAGGCTTAGGGTCTAGGGTTTAGGGTTTAGGGTTTAGGGTTTAGGGTTTAGGGTTTGGGGTTTGGGGTTTAGGGTTTAGGGTTTAGGGTTTGGGGCTTAGGGTTTAGGGTTTAGGGTTTGGGGTTTGGGGTTTGGGGTTTGGGGTTTAGGGTTTAGGGTTTAAGCTTACATCCAAGGGCTTGGAGGATCAAAGCCCTTGAGCCTTTAGGGCTCACACGGGATGCGTGTAGGATTTGCCTGCGCAGCTAGCTCAAAAAAGCGCCAAACCCCAAACCCTAAAGAAGTCAAAGCCTTGTGGGCGTGAAGGGTTTGTGGGGTTGTTTCCCCACGCCCTAAACCTTAAACCCCAAACCCTAACCCTAGACCTTAAACCCTCGGTGTGAATGTGTTCGATGTTCACTCCGGAATTCTCTGCCCGCGTCTCCTGCACTGTACTCCTCGCCTGGGTATACTTATACCTACCCCGACCCAAAGAGCCCTACACCCCTTAAACAAAGAATACGCCTTAAATCATCATAGGGATCCTAAAAGCCAACAGCAATTTTCGGGCCCCGAAACCCTAAACGCTAAACACTGAACCCTGTTGAGGGGTATTGGGCTCTGAGGCTGTTCTAAGCGGGGGTCTCAAAACAGCAGTTTCCAAGCCGTGAGCTCCCCAAAGAAGGCGTGCCCTAAACCCTAAACCCTAAATCAAAACCCTAAACCCTGAACAATTTAGAGCACCGACCGTATGACGCACGCCGTTACTGCGGCGGGGGCGCAGCAAGGGATGGCGCGGCGGCTGCCGAGTTCACAAAGCAGCCCTCCTGGAGGGTGGGTTCAGGGTTCAGGGTTCAGGGTTCAGGGTTTAGGGTTTAGGGTTTAGGGTTTAGGGTTGAGGGTTTAGGGTCCTGGAGCACCAACGGCAAGGAGGGGATAGGGAATTGAGTGCCTTGGAAATCCAGCAGATCACCTTACAGCAGTCTATATCCATCATTCCCTCAGCGTCCTGTTCGTGATATACACATATAAAATCTTTTTTACATGTAAACATAAAGAAGTGTACATATATATATATATACACATTATATACATATATACATATGCATCTACATATCACTCATACATGCATACATTCATACACACATGCATACATGTAGGCATATGTGCTGTTGAAACCAAAATGCTTAATTCTAAGTTGTTGTTTTATAATGACTTCAGCATTCCACAAGAAGACCTAACGCTCATCAGAAAATCACCCCAAAAGGCTCAACGATTATAGCACAAAACACACAAAAAACACCACGAATGACATATACATGCCAAACCATGAAAACGACACACGCGGACAGACAACCAAACACACGTGCCCACGTGCAAGCAAGCGAGCAAACAAACACTGTAACACTCAAGCAATCAAAACACATATACACACTCGCCCACCCACCCACCCACACTGTAGGCCTGCTCACTCGCGCCCGCCCACACACACATGGAGAAACAACCAGACACCTGCACGCATATGCACGCAACCAGGCAAGCATTCAACAGGACTTGCGAGCAATGAAACAAACAAGCAGACATGCAGACAAGCAAAGAAGCAGACAAACAAACACCTGCACTTACACTTCCATTGAGAGTTACTTGAAGGGTTTAGGGCCCCAGGGGGTTTAGTTCCTTCTCACTTCAGTCCACTACTCATGCGGACAAGGCTGCCAAAGGCCCGAAAGTGCAATGTTGGGGTCTAGGGTTTAGGAGGTCGAGTCTGCATATCCCGGCACATCCTGGATAAACCCTCAACCCTGTAGAAACGTCAACGCCGACCACCTGGCCCACAAACCGCCCCCAAAAACCGGCAACAAAACTCTAGACCTGTACAAACCCCTAAACCAGCCCTGAACTAGCCACCCCAGCCCTAAACCCTAAACCCTAAACCCTAAACCCCAAACCCCAAACCCCAAACCCCAAACCCTAAACCCAAACTCGTCTCTCTGAACCCTAAACCTCCTACTGTGAAAAGGGGCCCTGAAGCTCCAAAGCCCTGAATGGATGTTCAGCGTTCCTCAGAAGATTGAACAGGGTTAGGGTTTAGGGTTTAGGGTTTAGGGTACAAGGGACCCTTACTCTTATTCCCCGAAATAGCCCAACATATGCATACACATACCTTTTGTCCTTTTGTACCGAAGCCCTAAACCCTGAACCCTAAACTCTAAACCCTAAACCCTAAACCAGCCACTACATTATCCCTAAGGTCCCTTGTAAGGGTCCCTGCTTTAGTCCCCTGAGTGCAATAAAAACCCCAATGAAGGCCTACTTGGAGGTTCATGGTACTTAGTAACTACTTAGAACTGTACTTATCACCTACTTATAAGTCCCTAGAGTACCCTAAAGTGCCCTAATATGGTTATAAGTACAGTCATAAGTACAGTTACCCTAAACCCCAAACCCTAAACCCTAGTTAGACCCTAAACCCGGAACCCTATAAGTACAGTCATAATTAGTTACTCAGTACCCTGAACCTCCAAGTAGCCCCGTACCTCCTGCAAACCCCACACAGTAAACTCCAGAAAGTTGGAACATGGTTTAAGGGTGATTTGGGTTTGGGATTCCCTTTGGGAACGCTCTTGGGGTATGAGGATCATGATGTTCCAATACTGTAAACCCTTGAAATCAGAAGACCCCTATAAATCCTAGAAGCCAAGGGTTTAGGGTTTAGGGTTTAGGGTTTAGGATGAGCCCTACAAGCCCTGTAAACCGTGCAATATAAACCCTAAAAACCCATCCAGGCTTAGGGTTTAGGGTTTAGGGTTTAGGGTTTAGGGTTTAGGGTTTAGGGTTTAGGGTTTAGGGTTTAGGGTTTAGGGTTTAGGGTTTAGGGTTTAGGGTTTAGGGTTTAAGGCTTAAGTAGGGGGTCTGGGCTTAGGGCTTAGGATTTTCGGTCCTGCACAGCCAGAAGCAGCGACGCAACCGCAGCCGCGGCCAGCAACGCGCGTTGCGGCCGCGCGTGGGAGCGAAGCATGGTGATAAAGGCTCTGTGAGGCCTTATAGACCCTAAACCCTAAACCCTAAACCCTAAACCCTAAACCCTAAACCCTAAACCCTAAACCCTAAACCCTAAACCCTAAACCCTAAACCCTAACCCTAAACCCTAAAGCCTAAATCCCCAAACCCCAAAGCCTAACATAAGGCTTCTGGGTAGAGGGTTGGCACAGGCCTTTTCGGGCTTGTTGGGCTTTATATGCAGGTCTTGTTTGGCTCAGAAGGTTGCTGAACAGGGCCTACAGGGCTTACAGACTCTTGAGGGGTAACAGGGCTTAGGGGGGGCTTATAGAGATAAAGTCAAGGCCGGGAGTGTTTAGGGTTTAGGGTTTAGGGTTTAGGGTTTAGGGTTTAGGGTTTGGGGTTTAGGGTTTAGGGGTTTAGGATTCAAGGCGCTCTTGATCGTGGCTGCTGATGGCTCCAAAACAGTTGCGACCTGGGAGTGCAAACAAGTAGGCCGTGTTCGTCTGGGAGCCGTAAGCCCTAAGACCTAGGGTTTAGGGTTTAGGGTTTAGGGTTTAGGGTTTAGGGTGTAGGGTATAGGGTTTAGGGTAAACCCTAAACCCTCACAAAGCGTCCATACACCCATTCGCTAAACCCTTAACCAAGATCGTGAACCTGCTACGCAGCTGAGGTTGCCTTTCCTAAACC